AGCAAAGGTCACGTGGCCCAAATTTGCACAGCAGATTGTGGCCCACCCAGTAGAGCTAGAGCGCTAAAAATGGCACCAATCGACTCGCCAGCATCTAATCTTACTTTCCCAACACTCATTTGACCTCTCAAGGTCATGCGATGACCTAAGGTCATTTGTGGGTTATGTCGAAAATACACTTGCACAGCAGTTTTCGAGTAGATGGATTGACCGAATTCCAAATCAGAGCACATCATCGGGTAGCCCATAGGCCGTAGTAACTTTCCTTAAAAACCGCTTTTCGATATGTGACCCCGTTTGACCTCGGCAGGTCAAAATGTGCAAATAATCGACACTCAATACGTCGCAGCCCGGATTCAGCCCAGATTCGGGACACCTCCGATCAAGCTGAAACTCGCACACAATGTAGGCCATGACATGCCCAATCCACATTCCAAGTCATTCGGTGGCACTCTCAGCCGTTTGACCTACAGAGGTCAGCAAAGGTCACGTGGCCCAAATTTGCACAGCAGATTGTGGCCCACCCAGTAGAGCTAGAGCGCTAAAAATGGCACCAATCGACTCGCCAGCATCTAATCTTACTTTCCCAACACTCATTTGACCTCTCAAGGTCATGCGATGACCTAAGGTCATTTGTGGGCTATATCGAAAATACACTTGCACAGCAGTTTTCGAGTAGATGGATTGACCGAATTCCAAATCAAAGCACATCATCGGGTAGCCCATAGGCCGTAGTAACTTTCCTTGAAAATCGCTTTTCGATATGTGACCCCGTTTGACCTCGGCAGGTCAAAATGTGCAAATAAACGACACTCAATACGTCGCAGCCCGGATTCCGCCAAGATTCGGGACACCTCCGATCAAGCTGAAACTCGCACACAATGTAGGCCATGACATGCCCAATCCACAGTCCAAGTCATTCGGTGGCACTCCCAGCCGTTTGACCTACGGAGGTCAGCAAAGGTCACGTGGCCCAAATTTGCACAGCAGATTGTGGCCCACCCAGTAGAGCTAGAGCGCTAAAAATGGCACCAATCGACTCGCCAGCATCTAATCTTACTTTCCCAACACTCATTTGACCTCTCAAGGTCATGCGATGACCTAAGGTCATTTGTGGGTTATGTCGAAAATACACTTGCACAGCAGTTTTCGAGTAGATGGATTGACCGAATTCCAAATCAGAGCACATCATCGGGTAGCCCATAGGCCGTAGTAACTTTCCTTAAAAACCGCTTTTCGATATGTGACCCCGTTTGACCTCGGCAGGTCAAAATGTGCAAATAAACGACTCTCAATACGTCGCAGCCCGGATTCAGCCCGGATTCGGGACACCTCCGATCAAGCTGAAACTCGCACACAATGTAGGCCATGACATGCTCAATCCACAGTACAAGTCATTCGGTGGCACTCTCAGCCGTTTGACCTACAGAGGTCAGCAAAGGTCACGTGGCCAAAATTTGCACAGCAGATTTTGACCCACCCAGTAGAGCTAGAGCGCTAAAAATGGCACCAATCGACTCGCCAGCATCTAATCTTACTTTCCCAACACTCATTTGACCTCTCAAGGTCATGCGATGACCTAAGGTCATTTGTGGGCTATGTCGAAAATATGAAATTCGGTCAATCCATCTACTCGAAAACTGTTATGCAAGTGTATTTTCGATATAGCCCACAAATGACCTTAGGTCATCGCATGACCTTGAGAGGTCAAATGAGTGTTGGGAAAGTAAGATTCGATGCTGGCGAGTCGATTGGTGCCATTTTTAGCGCTCTAGCTCTGCTGGGTGGGCCACAATCTGCTGTGCAAATTTGGGCCACGTGACCTTTGCTGACCTCTCTAGGTCAAACGGTTGGGAGTGTCACCGAATGACTTGGACTGTGGATTGGGCATATCATGGCCTACATTGTGTGCGAGTTTCAGCTTGATCAGAGGTGTCCCGAATCTGGGCTGAATCCGGGCTGCGACGTATTGAGTGTCGATTATTTGCACATTTTGACCTGCCGAGGTCAAACGGGGTCACATATCGAAAAGCGGTTTTAAGGAAAGTTTCTAGGGCCTATGGGCTACCCGATGATGTGCTTTGATTTGGAATTCGGTCAATCCATCTACTCGAAAACTGCTGTGCAAGTGTATTTTCGATATAGCCCACAAATGACCTTAGGTCATCGCATGACCTTGAGAGGTCAAATGAGTGTTGGGAAAGTAAGATTCGATGCTGGCGAGTCGATTAGTGCCATTTTTAGCGCTCTAGCTCTACTGGGTGGGCCACAATCTGCTGTGCAAATTTGGGCCACGTGACCTTTGCTGACCTCTGTAGGTCAAACGGCTGGGAGTGCCACCGAATGACTTGGACTGTGGATTGGGCATGTCATGGCCTACATTGTGTGCGAGTTTCAGCTTGATCGGAGGTGTCCCGAATCTGGGCTGAATCCGGGATGCGACGTATTGAGTGTCGATTATTTGCACATTTTGACCTGCCGAGGTCAAACGGGGTCACATATCGAAAAGCGGTTTTCAAGGAAAGTTACTACGGCCCATGGGCTACCCGATGATGTGCTTTGATTTGGAATTCGGTCAATTCATCTACTCGAAAACTGCTGTGCAAGTGTATTTTCGATATAGCCCACAAATGACCTTAGGTCATCGCATGACCTTGAGAGGTCAAATGAGTGTTGGGAAAGTAAGATTAGATGCTGGCGAGTCGATTGGTGCCATTTTTAGCGCTCTAGCTCTACTGGGTGGGCCACAATCTGCTGTGCAAATTTGGGCCACGTGACCTTTGCTGACCTCTGTAGGTCAAACGGCTGGGAGTGCCACCGAATGACTTGGACTGTGGATTGGGCATGTCATGGCCTACATTGTGTGCGAGTTTCAGCTTGATCGGAGGTGTCCCGAATCTGGGCTGAATCCGGGCTGCGACGTATTGAGTGTCGATTATTTGCACATTTTGACCTGCCGAGGTCAAACGGGGTCACATATCGAATAGCGGTTTTTAAGGAAAGTTACTACGGCCTATGGGCTACCCGATGATGTGCTCTGATTTGGAATTTGGTCAATCCATCTACTCGAAAACTGCTGTGCAAGTGTATTTTCGACATAGCCCACAAATGACCTTAGGTCATCGCATGACCTTGAGAGGTCGAATGAGTGTTGGGAAAGTAAGATTAGATGCTGGTGAGTCGATTGGTGCCATTTTTAGCGCTCTAGCTCTACTGGGTGGGCCACAATCTGCTGTGCAAATTTGGGGCACGTGACCTTTGCTGACCTCTGTAGGTCAAACGGCTGGGAGTGCCACCGAATGACTTGGACTGTGGATTGGGCATGTCATGGCCTACATTGTGCGCGAGTTTCAGCTTGATCGGAGGTGTCCCGAATCTGGGCTGAATCCGGGCTGCGACGTATTGAGTGTCGATTATTTGCACATCTTGACCTGCCGAGGTCAAACGGGGTCACATATCGAAAAGCGGTTTTTTGGAAAGTTACTACGGCCTATGGGCTACCCGATGATGTGCTCTGATTTGGAATTCGGTCAATCCATCTACTCGAAAACTGCTGTGCAAGTGTATTTTCCACATAGCCCACAAATGACCTTAGGTCATCGCATGACCTTGAGAGGTCAAATGAGTGTTGGGAAAGTAAGATTAGATGCTGGCGAGTCGATTGGTGCCATTTTTAGCGCTCTAGCTCTACTGGGTGGGCCACAATCTGCTGTGCAAATTTGGGGCACGTGACCTTTGCTGACCTCTGTAGGTCAAACAGCTGGGAGTGCCACCGAATGACTTGGACTGTGGATTTGGCATGTCATGGCCTACATTGTGTGCGAGTTTCAGCTTGATCGGAGGTGTCCCGAATCTGGGCTGAATCCGGGCTGCGACGTATTGAGTGTCGTTTATTTGCACATTTTGACCTGCCGAGGTCAAACGGGGTCACATATCGAAAAGCGGTTTTAAAGGAAAGTTACTACGGCCTATGGGCTACCCGATGATGTGCTTTGATTTGGAATTCGGTCAATCCATCTACTCGAAAACTGCTGTGCAAGTGTATTTTCGACATAGCCCACAAATGACCTTAGGTCATCGCATGACCTTGAGAGGTCAAATGAGTGTTGGGAAAGTAAGATTAGATGCTGGCGAGTCGATTGGTGCCATTTTTAGCGCTCTAGCTCTACTGGGTGGGCCACAATCTGCTGTGCAAATTTGGGCTACGTGACCTTTGCTGACCTCTGTAGGTCAAACGGCTGGGAGTGCCACCGTATGACTTGGACTTTGGATTGGGCGTGTCATGGCCTACATTGTGTGCGAGTTTCAGCTTGATCGGAGGGCTGTTCACGGACCCTGTGTGCGGTCGGACCGCACACAGCCTCGAAGCTCCGCCCACCGCGTCCCTACGTCAGCCTTCCGTCACCGCACACAGCGATCGCTGTGGCCGGTCGGGACTGGCCACAGCGGACCGTCCACCGCACGCAGCCGTGACGTCAGAACCGCCTACCCATCCCCTACCCCCACGCCTGCTGGACGTACCGCACACACCGCACGCAGCAGTGTGCGGTGCCCGTGAACACCCCTCGGAGGTGTCCCGAATCTGGGCTGAATCCGGGCTGAATCTGGGCTGAATATGGGCTGTCTTGATCAACATGCGGTACAAAGTAGTTATAGGTGACGCTGCGTTCGGACACATAGGGCTCACGAGTCATAATTCTTGTGGGCTGGCCTGCAGACAACAGTTTTCAGTGACTGATTTCACAAATCTTGTGATGAATCTTATGGTTCGGGAGAAGAAGTTGGTGTATTTCTTCTATTCTCATTTTCATCTTTCTCATGTTTGCTTCATTCTGGATTCTGGAGGCAAGCAACAAGCATCAAATCCCGTAATTCCCACTGGTTGCTAGGCAACTTGTAAGTGGACTGTTATGTCCCTGGTCCTAGAGAACAGGCGTTAAATTCACGCGGGAAAAACGCGCTTGTTTGCGTTGCGAGGATTGTTTTCAATTTTGATTTCCATAGCTCAAGCTGTGGGTAATAGCACGGTGACTATAAATATAGGATGTGCTTCAAATAATGTGCCTCTAGTTATTTCAGCTTAAAAATGTAAGGAAGGCTTGTGCTCATTCTGCTCTTTATTTTGGACTGTCAAAGGTTACCTATTTTCGTCTGTTGTGCATGCCATGCAGCCTTTTTCTGGGATCGCGATGTTGATGTAGGTGTGTACGGTGTGAAGGTGCTGGAAATGTGTGGGTTTGATGAATTTCAGGGTTTTGGTGTACTTAAGTCTGGCAAACCTTAGAAAAAGAGTTTAAGTGTCTGAATCGCTTTGCATGTGTTAAATCTTCAAATGCATAGTTCGGACTTCAGAGACTTTCCGAAAAGCCACGAGGAAAGTATTCTTGTTCTTGGGCATTGAAGGCAAATCAGGCAACATAAATGCAGATCCATCAATGCTGGATGCTGGTTGTGCTTTTAAATCTGTTCTTTTTGGGGTTTGCCAGACTATTAACTGAGGCTTTTATCTTAACCTGAACCTTTTTAAATTGATTGGTTGATACTCCACACAAACAAAAGCAAAAGATCAACTACTAGACTTTTTCACTGGGGGGTTTTCCTTGGGGCTCACTTGTCCATTGCTGTTTTTGTGCATTTCTTGAATCAACTGACCATTAAATGCACTGTGGACCCGTCTCAATCTTGGCTTTTTCATTTGAGCTCCAGTAGTAAACCAATCAAGCTAAGGGCCTTTTGGAAAAATATGTTTAGTTAGTAGTTACATAGTGTCAATCATGTACATGAAAAGTCAACCTCTTGGTTTTGAAACACATGCATGGGATGTTCTTTATAAATAAACCAAGCATTCTGGACCTGAAAAATTTACAATTAATTTCAATGCCTTGTTTTAAAAGAGAATGCTTTAGTAGGACCATTTGAAGATTTATTCATGATAGCCTGGTTGGCAAAGCTACAACATAGATTCAAAGTGTTGGATTGTACATGCTGTTTAACTAACATCATTTTTCAGTTTTTTTTTGCATTTAAAATCACTCATGTCAGTATTCTATGGCAATTCTCACAAACAAATGCAACAGTGTACAATGTACCATTTGTTGCTCCAATAAAATGCCTGATATGGGCTGTTGATAACACAGGGAACCACATTCTTTGTGCTTAACCCGGCCGGGCCCGGGGGGTAATCCCAACCACCGCAGCCCGGGGGGGGGGGGGGCGTTTTTCGCCCCCCCTGTTTAACTCCGTAAATAAGGGAGCTACGGAAACAAAAGCGATACCAAACGAAAGGTCCTTACGAGACGATTCTAATGCACCTAAAATTTTTGACCTCAGGTCAATTTTCAAGGTCAGAGGTCAAGGTCAAAGGCCAAAACCGGCACATGTGTAGTGATCTCAAACTAAGCCTTCTAGAGGACGGCAGGCTGCATCAAACTGGCAAAATTGGGTGTCAAACGAAAGAAGAGAATCTGAGGATTCTGAAAATGTGCTCCAAATCAAAGGTCAAGGTCAAGGTCACGCTCAAAATTGACCTCAAACTTGGCACTTTTTCGCACATCTTGCGTGCTAACTTCCAAGATGTTTTGAAATGTTTTGAGGCTTATCAGTTCCCTATTTGTGGTTCATCTTACGATACAAGGCTGCTCAAAGGTCAAGGTCACAGAAGAGTATCCCTGCTAGGGGCTATTTCACTGATTCAAGTTAGTAATAATAAATAAGACAATTTTGCCATCCGGAAGCTCTAAATGAAGGCTTAGAGGAAAATAGATGCCAGATTCGTGATCAGCGGGTACAAATCCATCTTAAACGACCTTTCATGTGTCAAGGTCAACCAGAGGTCATTCGAGGTCACATGAGGTCAACATGAAACTTGACCTTTTCCGAACAAAATATATATCATTCGACGCGGCTTGACAAGGCGAATGCGATGGTACCACTGCCGTAGCTCTAGGACCATTGTTGTCAAAGTTATTTGCGAAAAACTAAAACCACATTTCGGGGTCGTTGACCTGACCTCTGACCTCAGGTCACTAAAACTATTTTTCTATTTTTCTCTAGGTCAAACGCTACACAGCCGTTCTCGTAATTTGTCTTTATCTCTAAAACTCTATTTTTAGCAGCTATTTGAAGTTTGCGTCTGTGACGCCGAAGTTTGCCGTGCAGGGGTCTAGCAAAATGGACCTTGTGACGTCATCAAGGGGGCTAGGTCCAAATTTTTTACTTCAGAAGATGTCAAATTGATGGGAGAAAAGGTACTGAAAGTTTCGCCTTCCTATCCCTAAGCGTTCGGGAGTTATCGCAAATATTCGCCAGGGGGGGGGGGGCGAAAAACGCCCCCCCCCGGGCCCGCGAGGGTTAATGAAATGTGTATCATGGCTTTCATTGGCAACAAATGTGATGAATATCATATTTTTATTGCAACATAATGTACCTATATTTATACATTATATATAGTAAGTTAACCAGGGCTGCGGAGTCGGAGTCGGAGTCGGTCGGAGTCGACAGTTGTGACCGGAGTCGGAGTCGGAGTCGGAGTCGATTTTAGAAACCCGAGCTGGAGTCGGAGTCGGAGTCACCGAAAATCTGTCGACTCCGCAGCCCTGCTAGGTCTGCGGAGTCGGAGTCGGGAGTTGGAGTCGGGGTCGGAGTTGACAATTCGGCCCGGAGTCGGAGTCGGAGTCGGAGCTGGTTTTTGAAAGCCGGAGTCGGAGTCGGAGTCGGAGTCGCCGAAAATCCATCGACTCCGCAGCCCTGAAGTTAACAATTGCCACTGATACTGTGGTGGTTAGATATGAGGAGCAACTGAAAGATCATGCTAAACCGAATGCCAAGAGCATATGAATGAATCAGAAAATATCATTGAATTTTGAGTTTCCTACCCCTTGACCTTGGCAGCAGTGTTTGACGAGCTATCCGGCACTGGAGTGACCTGCAGTGCCTGCTGTCTGACCTGCCCCCGTCGCCGGTCGTTGCAGCGCGCGCCTCAGGGGGTAGTACCAGTGGCGGCATGGAGCAAGGGCGCCTGCACCACCGACCGCCAGTCGTGCCGCCCACCAGGAGGCTCGGTGAGTGGGGCTCTGGGTGCAGTTCACTGATTGATTGGTCACCGTGCACCGCTGCTAGTCTTGTGATTCAGAGCAGTGTGCTCATTCATCATTCATCATTCATCATTCATTTCTATCACGCTGCAAAATGTACATACTGTGGTAGGAGAAGTGGTAGAAGTGCTCGATTGTGATTCTTTCACATATTTGCTGTCTTCGTTGTTTATTTCACTCATGCTTTAATTAAATGTTTCGATTAAACAGTCGGTTTGTCTTAATAAAACTTTGTCGTATTCCAATTTCCATCAGTCGGGATCATTGCCGAACTTGACCCCGGTGATTATGACTTGTGGATTGTGAGAACGGCGACTGTCCGCTCAACTAACGTCCAAATCAGCTGTCCTCTGACCGAAACGAGTCACACCGAACCGTAACCCAAGCGTTGTGTCTGCTAAATTCAGAACGTGCCAGACTACCCATCCGCCCGCTGCCACCGAAAGTCACCGAAAGTCACCGAAAGGTGAACTCAGATGCGGGTTTGACGGAAAGTCGCGGTACTGTCGGGCCGGGTGACGGTCATCTTCTGCTGACCGCTCGCTTCTGACAACTGACCGTCTCTGTTCCGCCGGTCAGCGTTCATCCCGGAGCCGGTGGAGCCCGAGGAGCCGCCGGCTCCGACCACCCCGCGCTGCTCGTGGCGCGTGGCTCCGCCGCCGCCACCGCCTGCCGACGCTGCCGGCCGCGCGCCCATGTCGGAGCGACAACAGCTGGCTCTGCTGCTCCAGCTGACCTCGCCAGGTGAGCCGCTCAGCCGGCAGCGGCACGGGAACGGGGCACTATTGGTTTGATCACGTTTAAGTGACAGTGGTCGATGTGTGTGGTTGGGGGGGGGGGGGGGGTCAGATGGCAGGGAGTGTAGCGCTTAGAAGTCTGTTCTGCATGCCAACAATTGATGCTTCTCGCGCGTTACGTACATATGCTGCTTCAGTAAGCTGCACCGGTTTCAATATTACTTTCCCTAGGGCTAAGGAAGCTCAGTGCCAGTACAGTAATGGTAAAGTCAGTACCTATGTATTTTGTCTGAGAATAGCAGTAGGTGCATAAACGCATAGCATGCATTGCTCAAGGGTGAGAAACCATAGGCGGCGGAACGAGGAGGGCACCGGGGCACCGTGCCCCCCCCCTTTGATTTTGGCATTTTAACATTAGCCCTATGGGCGTTGCATGGAAAGAATGGGACCGAAAGTCGGCAGTGCCCCCCCCCCCCCCCCCCACTTAATTGAAGGTGTTCCGCCGCTGCTGATGAAAAACTAAACGAATGTATGCAAAATGTAAATAAATTAATGGAAATACCACTAATAAAACGCGGAATCTAGACTTTACTAGGCATATAAACTTTTAACCATCTCAATTATTATTATACAGGGTGTCCGGAAATTATTTGCCCCTGGTTCATTAAGCTAAATCCCATCATGCCCTTTAAGAACTGTTCAAAAATTTGCTAACACCGTGCCTCAGGCTATCCACAGCTGTCCGTTAGACAGATGACATAACCCGGTCACCTGAACTTGACACTTGCGAGGCGCCAGCGGGCAGTGTTTGGCAGGCGTAACTCTCACCTGAGCCGCCTGAGCGTGGTGTCTACTATGACGAAAGAAACTCTTTGACAAAGCGTCATCGTGCTGAAGTTATGGTGAAGACTGGAATGAAGTAGGAGGTCAAATCGAATCCTCTGCCCTAATCCCAATCGAAAACCTATGGGAAATCATGAAGGAGGAGCTCAGCAAGATTGAACCAGCTCCCACAGAAAACAGACTTTAGAGGAACCTGTGAAAGGTGTGGCTGAACATCAGCGCGGATACTCTGGACATCGTGATCTATGAAATGCCAAAGCGGATCAGGGAATGGGTGGGACAAGGCAGGGGATAAATCGGTAAAGAAACCAAGACACGGGGGCTCTTTGTTTATTAATTATGGCGGCGAGTTGATGGAGGGGCAAATAATTTCCGGACACCCTGTATACATACGCGATAATGGCAGACACGGAAACACGGATAAGAAACACGGATGCGGAGCACTTGCACACATCACACACGTGCATGCCTGGCAGCGTGCCTCTGGGCTTTCACTCATGGAGCTCACATGATCATTGGGAATACACAAGGTTGCACAGTGCACAATGCACATTGCACATGTCTACCTTCAGCCGTCGTTTTTCCTCCTCGGGCCTGGTCCTCAGCTCTGCACCAATGGCGAGGCCAAACAGGGCCCAAGGAGAGAGATGTCCTTCCGAACAGAACGTTGCCAGCTCGTTTTGTTTGCCGGGCGACCTCCTCCCAGGCTTTCTTCTTTGCCCTGACCATCTTGTATTCGAGGCTGCCGGTATCCCATAAGGCGGGACGATCCCTGACGGCTTCGGGCTTCTACCAGCGCCACGTTGCCGAATGAGCTAATGAAGTAGCGACAACTATGGAATAGGTTCGTTCATGCGATGTCGCGATTTCGCCCGCCGAATGTGCAATGAGCACTGTGCCAAGCAGTGGCGTAGCCAGAAATCAGCGAAAGGGGGGGGGGCCATGGTGCTCGAGGGGGCGACTTTTTCCCTTGAGAGGGGCGCCATTGTCAGCTCGCGACAGGGGCGTCAGTCTAAAATGTAACGTCATGTTGATGCACGATTTACTAGGTGCTGCAAATTACGAGTATAAAAACTAGGTTTCACTGATTTGTCATAAAATCCAATTAATGCAATTTGCAGCCCGGTGTTGTTTTATCAAAAAACCTTGATCTTGATGAATATTTAGCACGATATAGGAAAAGAGCTCAGGCTACGGACATTTTATTCTCAAAAAACGCATCCATGCGAATTCGAAACGGTAAAACATACATTGATCGATGAGCACATTTTTTATTCTTTGCAAAAAATTATACAGGTTCACTCACTGATCCAAAGTGACCTGTGGGCTGCAGCCTGTGGTCGACCGGAGTGGCCGTGCTTAGAATCTAAGACCGCACGTAGTATGAAGGATTCACGCTGCGACTTATTGCCGAAATTGGAATCCAGGAAAGACTTGAACATTTCAGACCATAAGATCCACCATGAGATCCCAACTGATTGTCATACTAGCAGCGACTGCAGTCAGAGGCGACCGAAAGCTGACATACGTTCTGGATTTTTTTTTTCTCCACAAATCACCTTAAATTCGATGTCTATAGTGCGCGCAGCCCCTACTTGTGGACATGGGTGACTGCATGAGTGTCAGATGGATGAGGCGTGAGACTGTCCCATATAGTGGCACTAAGTTATAAGGATGTCCTCGGCCGACGTAGTATAGAAGACGACCTTTGATGATGTGTCCTCGGCCTTTGTGCATGATCGACTTTGAAAAGCGCCATAGATACCTGCTGATCTCACCGAACATTCGCCTTGCGTAATCCCCAGACAAAATATCTACATTGAGGAACAGGTCAATTTTGCGACCTCTCCATTACCTATTAGTTAAACCGCGCCGTGTTGGTGGCCTGTGTTTTCCGTGTCATGCTGGGGGGGGGGGGGGGGGGGGCGGGCGTTTTCACGCGACCCACTCTAACTTGGCTCCTGGGACACGCAGTAAGCGGCAATCGAAAGACCGTCAAAATAATGACGGAAACACTTTGTTTAGTTTTCAGGTCAGGTCAAAGGTCAGGTCGCCAGAGATCATCAAAGGTCAAATTTAGTCCATTTATAAACAATTTTGGAAACTGCCAACGGATAAATCGGGAACCAATAGAGCTACAGCGCCACGGAAAAGCACATTTGATAGCCATTTTACAGACCTTTCTTATTATTGCCCTCAGAATTGACCTCGGGTCTACGGTTTAGCCTCCAGATGGCAAAACTCCAAAAATATCTGTTTTTAAGAAAAATGTTTTCTGCGATACCTTTTGCCTCAAGACAGTGACGAGATTTATTTTGCCAGCATCGTGTTCCTCCCGTCGAGACGCGTCGAAAGAACTATACGTTGACATTGAAACGTCATTTTAAAAATTTGACCTCAGGTCAAGGTCATGACCTGACCGGAAAGGGTCATGCTGCATATCAGTCGATCCGTATCGTCGAGCTGAACACCGGTGGAGCCGCTGCTCCCCGTGCGCCCCCCGCCCTGGCAACCGACCGGCACGATCAGCTTCAACCTGGACATCGGAGCGGGGCTCCCAGCCGGAGCTGCCGCCTCCACGAAGAAGGAAGCCGCCCTACACCACCTGGCGTCCCTGACCCAATGTGCGACCTGGGTGTGGACCGACGGGTCGGCGACTGGAGGCGTTCTCTGTGGAGGGGCCGGCGCGCTGGTCGTCCACGCCGATGATGACCGCACTGAGCTGAAGAGGCCCGCAGGAGCGCTCTGTTCCAGCTTCAGGGCGGAGATGCTGGCCATCGCAATGACCCTGGAACACCTGGCGACACACCCTCGTGACGACACACTGCCAATAATAATCTGCACCGACTCACAGTCTGCCCTGGCTGCACTGAGAGAGGGGCCTTCGGCCCAGAGGACGGTCCAGGGGGCGGAGATATGGAGCCGCCTGCTGGAAATCGCCACACCGGACCGCCACGTGACGCTGCAGTGGGTCCCATCGCATTGTGGGATCCCAGGCAACGAGGCGGCGGACGTGCTGGCGGGAGAGGCGGCGGCGCTGGAACAAGAAATCGCCTCCATCGACGTCAACACCATCTACAAGGCTGCGGCCCGTCTAGCCAGGGACCAGGCGGCCAGGGACAGACCGTCATACCCAGACCCGACACGCAGAGCGGCGACCGGCTGGTACCGGGAGCTGATGGGTACGAGATACCCGCCCCCAGTCTCCGGCCTGGATCGGCGGGCAGCCATCGATGTCCACCAGATCCGGACTGGCCACTGGAGTGGATCGACCCAGTTCCTACACTCCATCGGCCGGAGCCCCTCAGCCGCCTGCGCCCAATGCCGGGACCTGCTATGCGAGGCCGCCCGGTGCCCGCTGTGCGGCGAAGAGGCGGACACCCCCCGGCACATCCTGCTCACGTGCCCGGGCCTGATGGGTGTTCGCCTCAGAATCCCGGCCGTAGGGAACATCCTACCAACACCCGACGAGGTCTGGCGCAGTGACGTGGTGGCGGCCCTGGTGGCCGCCTTCAGGGCCCTCCAGAGCCGATGAGGCTACGCCGCGGGGCCACCCGCGGCCGGAGGGAAAATCATCAACAACATCAACAGCTGAACACATCTGACATAGTTTCACCGCTCTAGCATATTTTTATCAAAAGTTATAGCCAAAAAACTGCTGGTGACCGTTCATGGACTGAAATGACCTCAGGAGCATACAGAAGAGTCACAACTCACAGGTGCATTTGTCCTATTCAGTGTGTTTTGTTTACCTATGAACCGATGTTTCAAACACCCCCAGCAGGTTCGATTAAAAAACGCATACGTTGGGGGCGGTACCGCACTGCTAGGCGGGGGCTGCATCGCAATAATGGGCGGCACTGCGCCTGAGGGGTACCACTTGCATTGAGGAGTGGCATTGTACGGTGAAGGGGCGGCGTCGCAAATTGAGGGGCGGTATCGCAACGAGGGGTGGCACTAACGAGGCTGCCTTATAAGAAACGCTTGGCACATCCTAGCCGAGCTTGGCGCCGCCTGGCTGCTGCATCTTCAAAAGGGCCCTTGGTGTCGATGAGAAAGCCCCATTGTCAAATAATTACCTAGCGTCAGTGGTTTCAGGAGAGGGGGGGGGGGGCGCTATCGATCTTGAATGGGGCGGGGCGCCTTTGATCTGGGATGGTCCGACTGGGATTTTCAGAGGGGCGCCAGTGGTTTCATAGGGTCGCCATTGATCTAGGATGGGCCGACTGAAGTCCCGGTTCAGGTGGGCGCCAGTGACTCTTGAGGGGCGCCAGCGATCTCTGATTGATAGGCGACTGTGATCTTTAGACTGTGTTGAATGCACCATTGGGCATGGATGGGGCCACTGTTGCCTTCAGCAGGGCGCCGCACGCTCTGGAGGGGCGCCTTGAGCTTGGGTGGGGCGACTGTAGTGTCAAGGGGCGTTGTCTCGGATGAGGCAAATATGATATTCAAAGGGGCGCCGGGTACTCTAAGAAGGGTGCCATTGGTTTCAGGGGGTTGCCATCGATCTCAAGATGAGGCAGCTGTAATCTCCGTTTAGATGGGCGCCAGTGACTTTTGAGGGGCGCCAGCGACCTCGGATGACGACGACTGTGATCTTCAGAAGCGTGCCGGACGCTCTGGAGGGGCGCCGTTGGGCTTTAATGGCGACTTTAGTCTCAATCGGAACAACTTAAGCCTCAAGGGGGGGGGGGGGGCGCTAGTGGCTCTTGAGGGCGCTATTGGTCTTGGATAGGGCGATTAAGATCTTGAGAAGAATGCGGGTGTCTTAGAGGGGCGCCAGTGGTTTCAGGGGGCGCCGTCGATCTCGAATGGGGCCGATTGGGGCAGCTGTGAACTTCAGAGGGGCGCCGGGTTCTCTAGAGGGGCGCCATCAACCTTTAAAGGGGCGACTGTTCCGTTCAGCTGGGTGCCAGCGGCTCTTCAGGGGCGCCATCGACCCTGGGGGTTCGGAATATTCTGGTTTCCGGAGGGGCGTCCTTCATAATTGGGGGCTCAGGTCCTAGTTGGGGGTGTCCTGGAGAACATTCGGGTGTCCAGGCACCCCCAAAGAGATAGTAAAGTTCGATCCCTGCCTTCACGTCACTCTTTAGTTCATGTTCCCTCTGCAAAACGGCATCAGCCTAGTCGGCGCTAATTGGGGCGCCATCTGGGCGGCTGGGCGGAAAGGGGGGGGCCATGGCCCCCATGGCCCCCCCTAAATACGCCACTGGTGCCAAGATTACTTTCTTTGCGCAGCCGGCTTTAGCGCTGTCGCAGGGCGAGGGTGGAGGAGATGCAACTTTGATAAAGTAACGAACTGGCTAGTCAACTCGTACCCATGTCTCAGATTTTCATACGGGTGTCCTATGAAGATCACCGGTGCTTATATTACCAGGCCAGTCAGGTGACCTCCCCAAGGTAATCAATGAGAATATACGGGGGCTGCTTGCAGTTGGGGGCCGGGTATGAAATATGCTGCAATCAGCTCGAATTTGGTTTCATTCAGTACGTGCTGGATCCCATTTCATATTCCCTGTGTTTTTGGTCATGAACATTGTGCTGAGCTGGGAGTGCCCGAACTCGCCTAATTCCACGCCTGCTTGGCCTTAGAGCCGCAACGGACGCCGGAGGTCAAGGTCACCGCCGCGCTGGGGCGGCCGCGGATTTGATGCACCTGGGCACCTCCAGCTCGGCAAGAAGTTCCACCCATCGCCCATGCGTTATAACTCATATTGGCAAAAAAAAACTGATGTCAAGTTGACGTGATATCTGCATACCCAATATCACTTAGGTCGCTTGAAGTCATGAAAATTTTCGCAAATAATTACCTGAAAAAGAACTTCTATTCCAATTTAAAAACAAACAAGATGACATTTATTCCAAGGCCCTGACCTGACCGCCAATTAGCATGGGATTGGGATTTACCTTTCTTAGCATTGAAGTTGACCTTATCCCAGTAAAAGGTGTAAAAAATATACATATAAAATTATCAAATGACGCGGCTTGAAATAAAAACGAAGGTGACATTGCTGAAGGGCGAAACACTGAAATTGCTGTTCTACATGCAACCATTATTGCTACAATTGTTTTAAGAAGAACGACCTTTGCATCGTATCCTTGATTTCAGAGTTCACTGGTTGATCTCTTATCTCACCAGATTTGGTACAATTCATTCGCTGCGTCTCATGACGACCTAGACGTCCGTTCGTCTTTACCGCAAAGTTTGAAGCGGAACGGCTCGGAGGAAATGAATCATGCCTCCCGTCTCCTGGGGAAATGTCGGTCAAATGCAGCAGAGTACTTGTGACTTGGACAGTGAACAAGACTCTTTTACTGGTCACGGGTCAATCACCGGCACCGTCTAAGGTGTGCTAGACCACGGTCAGCCGCAATCGTGAGTCAGGCTGGGTCAGACACCATTCTAAGTCAGGTGGGTCATGCTGGGTCACCGCCAGTTGACCCGGGCTATACTCGTAGGAACTGGGCCGTCCCATTCCCGTCTCCAGCGTGGACCCCGGAGATTTGTCCGAGAGACAAAGGGAGCGGCTGCGGCGCCCCCGACCTCCCGTCTCGTGCCCTCACTGGAGGGCATGCTACGGAAACCAGTCGGCCAGCCGGCCGAGCCGCCGCGTCGGGCCGGCGCGGCGGAGCGGGGTCGTCTCCTCAGCTCTGACGCGCAGTCGGCGGTTATACGTGGTGTGGAGGGTGCGCGCTCCATTCTGTGTGTCAAATATTTGGTTTATTCGTGCGAAATACGTCGCTCATAAGGACAAAGTTTATTCTGAGGATCATATTACAACAGGTGAGCTTTTTCATAAGTCTGTGATTTTTTATTTTATTCCATTAAGATGATATGAGGCGATCCGTTGTCTCGTTTGAGAAGCCAGAAATTGGAAGGGCTGGATTCAAATATAAGTAATCGTTTTGGCTGAAAAGTAGAAACGATTGTTCAAAGTGCTAGGCATGTTCCTAACTTGATATTTTCCCGATCTTTAGGCCGGTAATTTTTAATGGTGGCAAATAGGACATGTCACATGGGTAGGATAGGGGTAAGGCCGGGAAGGAAACTGACAACTTGGTGGGGAGGGTCAGGGTGGGGCCTGGGGGTACGCCCCGGATTCCTGAATGCATGGTCTTCTTATGAGTTGTCACACTATCCCTCATAATACGCTTGTTTGGTAGTTCAAAGATGCGGTTTGTCGTGCTTACTATGCTGGGTATTTATATACATAAGGTCCGATCGCCAAAGTGATTATATCAAACATACCACATAATGTATTTTGACCTCCTGGCTAGGCTCGTTCGCAAGGCCCTCTAGTTCGGTCTGTCCGATAGCTATTTTGAAAAGCTTCAATGGACGCTCTTGTGACCTTATTTGCGGATCGTGGATTAGGTAGAGAAGTCTCTACCTCCCCGGCTATCTCGGCCCCCTTTGATTTTCTCAAGCTAAACACGAAATTAGAGTGTGGACTGCGCCTCGCGGACTGGTGCCATTATGATTATATTGCATCAGAATGGGTGGGCTGAGGGATTGGCATTTCGATGGTAAAAAGTCTCGCGTTCAGTGCGACGGATCGTGACTAGCCTGTAAATTAAAATGCCCTCGAGTCAATAAACTCCTTCCCTGAGAGTTTTATGTCCGTCTCCGTCCATAATAACCTTTGACCTGTGACTTTTTCTCGAGACCATGTCAGGCCAGAAAAGCGATTCGGCGTCTTTCAGCGCACATTATCTGCATAGGCGGATCCAGAAAGGCGGTGTCGGACGCTGCGGTGTGGGGGCATGCTTACCCCCGAAAGTGCTCCCCGAAATGCCTAAATGTCTGTGGGCTTCGATTTCGCATAGTTTAAAGAATACTTTTTCTAATGAAATTTAAGTTTTCTTTCTATTCTAGGAAAACAAACAAATTGTCATCGATTTCCGGCGTTTCGAGGGCCCATTTGCTACAAATGCGCCCTTGGATCCGCCTGCGATCAACTGTGCGTTTCCAGAGTTACTGATTGAAAACGTGTTATTTGAGGCTCATTCCTCGTATTATGGTGGATGTCAGGTTCAGGTGAAAGTGGATTTCGCTTTACCTTATTAGTGTATTGCTGCAGGGGGTTGTTGGAGTTGTCAGTTGATTTCGAATTTAGCACCCACTTTGAATATTTGAGGACTATTTTGATGCATACACGTGCGTTGCGAGGCTGTCATTTGTGGTCACATTTCTGCTATGGATAGCCGGCGGTACACCTACTGGTCAACCTGACCTGACCTGACCTGACCTGACCCGGCCTACACCAAATGCACGAATACATTATCTTTGGTACATGGTAAATGCTTGGTAAAATGGTAATTGGTAAAAATGTTTGGTAAATGCGAAACTTGAAATCAAGACTCCAAAAAATCCTTAAAACCCCACTTGAAGGTGCTATGGCAGAAGCGCAAAAATGTCGACGGCTGACGGAGAGCTATTGAAAAGCCGTGATAGGGTCTACATCGCATGACACCATACGCATGCCGATAACTTGTGACGTAAGGTGGCGAAACACGATAATAGCGATTGGCAGCGTAACCGTCTCCTATATGTTGGACGCTCTGTACAGGCCAATCCGGGAGATAGAAAGGCCGGAGGGTAACCTCTGCTTACGCCCAACCGGAAAAATGAATGAATATTCACTAGTGTTGACCGGCCTAATCCTGTGATACGAAAACAAAATGTGCCAACTTTTATCTTCCTTTGGCGTTAAGTAATTCAGACACTGCGCAGGCAGTAGTTTGTGAAGGGACAGTGATATGATCAATTTTGCAAAAAGGCATTTTTTTTTAGGATTTGGCAGCCGCTTTTTCATTCAGAGTTTGTATAGATACGTCTGCCCGTTGATGGTCCGTCGACTGCGGCCGTCAGTCTGACCACCCTCCTCTCTGCGACTGTGTCCGGCAGTGGCTCCGTCCACCCCGTCTAGCGGCGTCAGTCTGACCACCTCCTCTCTGTGCCCGGCAGCGGCTCCGTCCACCCCGTCCAGCGGCGAGGGCTCCCCTGCCACCCCGTGCGGCACCACTCCGGCTCAGCGCCGGCTGCACAAGCGCAACGAGCGCGGCGAGACACCGCTGCAGGTGGCGTCCATCCGCGGCGACCTGCGGCGCGTGCGGCGCCTCATCGCCGACGGTGCCGACGTCAACGCCGCCGACTTTGCCGGTAGGTGGCCGACCGAGTGGGGAGGGGTACCACTTGCCGCTTACAGTGAGCGGACGCCGAACTGGGCCGGCTTATCGTCAGATTCACGGCGAGCATGCATTCAGTCGATATTCAGTCAATATTTGCTGCTATTCGCTATAAAGTCGATATTCAGCCGGTATTCAATCGATGGTAAATCCGTGAGTTGAACCAGACCCAAAGTGGATGATTAGATGGCATGATGAACATACATTTACAAAATTTAACCTTATTTGACATCAGTATAAGTCGAGCCATTATCCAAAACCTACATGGTTAGCAATGCATCTACCGGTGGGCGGTGAATACACTGAGATTTCATTCAAGCTGCGATATAGGAAGAATAGAGGTCAGTTTTCTACCTTCTTTATGTGTCTAAGTCGGGAAGATTATGGAAAGGCTGCCCTCAAAATGTTTGGTCCTCCGAAGGTTCGATATTGCCTGATTTCGTGTGAAAAAAAAAATTGTTTCCTTGAATTGATGCGAAATCATATAAAATTGGATGCCTTTATGTTAGATCCACCGAGCAATGGTTTGTTATTCGTTGCACTTGAGTTTCTTGCTTTCTCGAGCTTCTGCTGTCAAATACGGTTTCTGGATTTAGCATATGTAGAGTTGGCGAGGCCTGGAGAGAAATTGCTTTGAAATGTTGCAGTGTCTAGTCGATACACTGATAAATAATGTCCAAAAACGGTTAGGCCAGACCAACCGCAACCCTTAAAGGGACTATCCCACCTTTAACATGGGGTTTGAGTTGAGATAGCCAAGTTTGCGGCGAGGTTCAGAAACCACTATCTATCTAGGTTGCAACCCCCGCGGCCTCTTGGTGTTGAAGAAAATCTTCAACATGGAGCGACCCGACCGTTAGTGTGACGTCACGTCGTTTAGTCATTCTGATGTAAATGGGTTTGTTCGTTGAAAATCGCTTAAAACTTGGTCTGAACTTTGTTGTGGTGCCTACAGAGTAAAAAGAATCAGCTTTATGACAGTAATGTGGCCTGGGGAAGGAGGTATTTTTTGGCTGTGACGTCACATATTTGAAAGTTTGTGTTTGGAATATGGGAAGCCTAAGATGTTTAATGAAAAATAAATGCCAGAACCGTGTTCCTGGTCAATGGTCATTGATCCAATCTATAAAGTCGGGCACAATTTAACTGGTTTTAACAACATTTTAGATGGTGGGATAGTCCCTTTAACCGTTTCGTAATCCAAATCCGAGTCCGCTTTCGGATGTCAAAGAATTAAGGCTCTGAATTTCAACTGATATCACTAATACAAGTGCTACCAATTCGGTAAAAGCGTCATGCTCGCTCAAGGTGCCATTGGGCATTGTACCTCCCGTAACATTGCGCCATTTTTACCTCCCGTAGCGTCCCTCAGGAATGGGCCATAGCCGTTTTCATCGACACTCCCATTGAAAAAAAATTAAATCAAAGAAACTGCTTAACATTGCAGCAGCGCACACGGAGTTGTGTTCAGGGTTATTGAAATCATAGAACATTTTTAGATTCATTAACAGTGTTAACTTTGCAGCATAACCTGCCTGGAACCGCGAACTATAAAGTTTGTGCTGTATAAAGTGGATTGATAAATAGCAGGACTACAGCCTGCAGAACGCCTTGGCGGAGTTCAGTCAAAGCAATCCGAAAGACCTCGGTATCTCAGGTTTAAGATTGAATGCCATATAGGAATAATGTTATCCACCCCCTCCCATCCCCTCCGCTGCAATAAGGTCGCATCGGTCACATGGGTCACGTCATACGGCCGGCCGGTCGACGGCGCAGCGGCCAGCCGTCGCCGCTGACAGGGCTGAGTAGACGACCCACATCCGCCTCGCTTGCCTGGGATGCATTGATTTTGTCTGTCGCTCTCCGTCCACCGTCAGGCTGCTGCAGGTATAGGTTGCCACAGCACGGCTCGTGCATTGGCAACCTAGATTCATATTTCAGTCGAATAATATCAGCAGACATTTTGCTTGTTTTGCTGATATACGTACTCATAACGCTAGACTTTAAGCCCATAGTCGATGCTAGAGTCGGGCGGCTTTTGCATAGGTACTACTCGTTCAGGGAAAAAGGACTGCTGAAGTATCCAGCTTTTATAAGATAATTCGACGTGACTACAGGCCAGATGTATTTTTTTTTTTACCCTCATCTTGTCATTACCATTCCCCGAATGTTGGAAGTTGAGTTTGCTTTTTTGTCCCCGATCAGCACACACTTTTGCACAGATTTTAACTGTTTTCAAAACTAATCGATCCTGCCTCCTTAAACGTCGTGCAATTGGCCGTTTTTGGGGGGGGGGGTCAAGTTTTCAAAGCAAAGTTTTCTTCATACGCGAAAAAGCGACTAAAATGAGTCAGTTGCTGACGCTGCGGGAGGAGAAATGCCCCCCCCCCCCCGAATTCGCCAGTGTTAATTCCAATGTTGGAATTGTCGCTTTCGGTCCTGGTCCCCAAGAATAAAATATGTCTGAGAACCAGCCAGCTTTTACAAAACCCAACAGTAAAATCAAATGTTTGGCCTTCTAAATGTGGTAGCTGATAAATTGTGTTACTCTCAATGCTATTTCTGCATATTTTAGGTGTAATAACTCACATGTCCCAGTGTTCGACCACTAACATATGGTATTCTCGGCATCAGGGGGTGCGGAATGCACGCGCTAGTGGCGAAAAAACATGTTTTGAGGAGGCATCCTCCTCAAAAGATCCTCCGATTCCGGAAAATCTTGACCTAGGCAGTAGGCACACCAAATTTGGTACACTGACACTACCGGACACGCGATTTAAGGTGCTGTACAAATAGGCGTGCTGGGGTACACGGTGCACGTGCTGTGCACATGCAAACCTTTTGATTTTGCGCTCTGTGTCACATATGCGGGTGGGGCGGGTAGCGCTGGCAAGCTCAGTGCCAAATTTACACAGGCCACCCAGAATGCATTCCAGCATAGTTATTGAGCATATTCATCTCCTGGTGGACCCCAAAGGTGCGCTCTGCACGTGCAAACAATTATCCGCGCCCGGCGGTGGGGATGCTTGGACAGTGGACACCTCATGTGGATTTATGGAAATATCAAACGGCGTTGTGGAGCGCCGCTGTTTTTTTCGTACACCTTTTCATACATCTTTTTCACAAATGCTGCATAACTTGGTGACCTGACCTTGAGCGACTTAGGTCGCTCAAGGTTAGGTCACCAGATTACGTCCAAGTGGCCTTAATTTAGGAAAAATTATAATACCCGTCATAGCTATTAGCTACACAGACTAAACAATCGGTTTAAAACGTGCAGCAATTGATAACATCAACAGTATATACGTAGAGTAGGGGAGAGTGGGGCACATTCGTGCAAAAAATTGGATAAATCCATATATCTGTTCTTTGGTTAGTGCAACGGCAAAATTGTTGATTGTGGTATGGAAAGGAACTATTGCAGATATTTTTCCTCTTTAAAAGTTATCCTCTAAAATTATTGCTTCTATTAGGAAAAATGACTTTTAATAACTCTGAACGTTTGCACGAAACTGCCCCACCTATGGGGCACATTTGTGCAAGGGGTGGGGCACTTCCGTGCACCCTGCAAAGTTCTAGAAATTACCGGGCATTACCAGAAATTTACCAAAGGAAATTGGCAGGGGGTCATTTCACTTGATTCCTTTCGACAAGAATGCACTGCACAACATATGTAGAAAGAATGGGCTGGCCAACAAGAATGTGCCAACTGCCGGCCTCCGTGACCTCGCCAAGTTCGCGTGAATTAATCGTCACGACGTCGCAAGCAGCCGAGACTGAGTCAGGCGAGCGTCATTAGTGAAACCTACTATAGATAAAGTCATAAATAGCAAAAACTAAAAAAAAAAAAATATGCACGAATGTGCCCCCAGGCAGTGCGTACACGAACCTGCCCCACAACGTTATTTGTAATATTTCAAAATTTCTTGTTGAAAAAAATGACACTTTGTCAACAAACAAGTTTGCAGCAGTTCCGTGAATAGAGTGAGCACCTTCGCCCCCAATTTTGAAAAGCTGAACCACATTTCCGAGTCAGGATCACGAAAATGGATGATATGAGAAAAGTTTGGAAAGCTCACGAATATTACAAATTTGCGTTTTTATCAAGCATGACAGCAGGTACAGTGTTGTCTTCTACGGTGAACGAAGGGCGGCAATGATCACTGGCGGATCCAGGGGGGGGCCACGGGGGCCATGGCCCCCCCCAAAGGCCTAAAGTGGCCTGTTTGGCCCCCCCCAAAACGTCAGAAAAACTTCTAAGAAAATATACCTTGATGGAGGTTTTTAACCACTTGTTGAAGTAAAGTTTCCACAGCATAATATGGAAGCAATATGGTAGCAGTGAGGGTCAGTCAAAAGTTGCGCGAGCGGAGTCGACCTTCAAAAAAAGACTGTTGTTGGCACGTGTTTATGGCGCGGCAGCTGGTAGTTGGCGGTGTTTCGCGTGGTGTGGCATCACTGGCGGATCCGGGGGTGGGGGGGGGGGGGGGTAGCACGGGAGCCTGAGGTGCCCCTGACAGGCCCGTGGTGCCCTTGCTAGGCCTTTGGTGCCCCTGGACCCTGGCAGGCCTGTGGTGCCTCTGGCGGGCCTAGGGTGCCCCTGCTAGGCTGCTGATGCCCCTGGGAGTGGGACCTGACAGGACTGTGGTGCCCCTGACAAGCCTTAAGTGCCCCCAACAGGCCCGTGATGCCCCCGACAGGCCCAAGGTGCCCCTGCCTGCGTGATGCCGTGATGCCTGCGAGGCCGGTGGTGCCCCTGCGAGGCCGGTGGTGCCACTGCGAGGCCGGTGGGGCCCCTGACAAGCCCATGGTGCCCCTGCGAGGCTGGTGGTGCCCCTGCTAGACCGGTGGTACCCCTGGCAGGCCTGTGGTGCCCCTGCTAGGCCGCTGGTGCCCCTGGGCCCTGACAGGACTGTGATGCCCCTGACAGGCCCAAGGTGCCCCTGTAAGGCCGGTGGTGCCCCTGTAAGGCCTGTGGTATCCCTACTAGGTCTCTGGTGCCCCTTTGACAGGCCCATGGTGCCCCTGCGAGGCTGGCGGCGCCCCTGGCAGGTCTCTGGTGTCCCTGACAGACCTGGGGTGCCCCTGACAAGCCTGTGGGGCCCCTCACAGGCCCGTGGTGCCCTTGCTACTTGCTAGGCCTGTGGTGCCCCTGGCGGGCTGGTGGTGCCCCTGCTAGGCCGGTGGTGCCCCTGACACGCCTGTGGTGCCCCCGGGCACCAAGGGGGGTCATGACCCATGTGGCCCCCCTTGGATCTGCCACTGATACATGATATATTGATTTGTAAAGGCGTTATGGCTTATGCAATATGCAATTGCAGGCACTTGGTATGCCTCACTTATCCCTTATTGGGGGCTCTGGCGGGCTCCTGAGGGCCCACGTCTATCTCCGGGAGCCCTTGACAGGCTCCTTTGGGTCCTTTCAGTCCACTATAGCATATAGGTCTCCATGCGAGTCCTACACATCTGAGGGCGTACCCTGACGTCTGAGGTACCCAACTGCAGCTCCAATGGTCTCTTACACTGGCGGATCCAGGGAGGGGGCATTTAGGGCCATGCCACCTTCCCAGAGGTCTAAAGTGGCCCGTTTGCCCCCTCCCCCAAACGATAATGAAACATAGTTCAATCAGTGCGTGGCCTAGGAGCCGAGTTAGACAGGGGGTGTTTTACCTCCTCCCGGCCCGCAAAGGGACCCAAGCACTGACTCGAAGCGGGTTAACTGGTCGACAAAAGCAATGGTAAGTGCTTACAAAGTAATATAAAGGCATGGGTCGGGTGGGCTACCATTTATATATTTTTCTTTTTAGTTAAAAAAAAATTCATAGTGTCAGGGCTGTGACGAAAAATAAGTGGCCTAAATCCGATGAGAAAACAGGATTTGGGGGTACCCTAGGTTTGGCTCCAGCATGAGTTGGCCCCCCCCAAAACGCAAGCCTGGATCCGCCAGTGGCAATGATAGACACATTTCCATAATTTACCTTGAGCTCGTGCAGTCACTCGTGTTCCCATAAACTGCTGAAAACGAATGTGCCCCATGCACGAATGTGCCCACTCTCCCCTACAGTAGGTCTGCAAAATAAGTCCTCTCCGTATGCGGGCAGGTGGACCCCGAGTAGCGCTCAGGCGCTAACTGCCCACTGGTAACCCGCATACGGCGGGGAATTATAATGTAGACCTACTGTACCTACCTCTACCTCGAAATGTCAATATCACTGACCTAGGGTTCTGTTGATTTTGCGACCTCAGACCACCAACACGGCAAATCATTTACCTATTTTGTCAAATTCGGGCTCCTAAACTGTTTGCTACCCAGCAACGCAAACTTACGCCTCAATCGCCGGCTAGCGCAGCATAGGCATCTTTGTTATCCACGTTGTTTGCGCCTGCAGTGATACTGTACCGCAATAACCAGTATCTTCATCTTTCACCCATAGATGGCAGTAGTCAAGCGCCTGCATCTATGCTGTGCCGCAGTGCTCTCACAATACGAGCTGAGCATTGAGCAAGCGCGGTGTAATACGATTATGTGGTGGCCTGGACCGGTGACCGTGGCCAATAAATGGTTCGAACTTGACTGAGTAGCGGTAAATCAGTATCTGATATCTCACGAGCCCGTGCTGGGTCAGAATCGTGATTCGGCGTAAGTCAGCCCACATTATCCGCGCGTTTCCAGTCTTTTTGTGGTCTTCAGGTCTTTTGTGGTTCATCGGCACACCCACAGATAACAGTAGTACTGCTGTTAGCTGTGGCACACCCAATCAAAATTAAATTTTAGAACAAAAACCGATTTAGTTTTTTATTCTACCAGGACTGAGAGTCTAATAACCAGCACCCTGAAACACTTTGCATTGTATTGTATTGTATTTACGATCGTGGGCGATCCACACATGGCGTGGCGGTTACTGCCCAGAGTCTGAGTCGGGTACATAGGCATGCAGGAACAGAGGCCAGTCATACAACTCACAACACACACACCCATACACACAAGAAGCCTCTACATGCTACGATTTCTAACAAAACATGCTACATGCTACGATTTCTCCGAACACGAACGTGTCGGTGTATTCAGTGACATGTCTCCACTGCTGTCCGCCAGGCTGGACGCCGCTGCACGAGGCGTGTATCCACGGCTGGTCGTCGGTGGCGCGCGCGCTGCTGACCGCCGGCGCCGACGCCAACCGGCCGGGCCTGGACCGTGTGACGCCGCTGCACGACGCGGCCGGCAACAGTCGCCGGCGGCTGGTGCGCCTGCTGCTGCAGCACGGCGCCGACCCGGCGGCCCGCACCGCGCGCGGCCAGCGGCCCGCCGAGCTCGCCTCGGAGCCGCGCGTCCGCCGCCTGCTGGAGACGGCCGCCGCCGGCGGACCGGTCAGCGACGGCAGCGGAGACAGCGAGAGCAGCGACATCGGTGAGGGACGCGCAGAGGTGGTGCAGTCATTCTGTACAGCGTGGCTTTCGGATATCCAGTGCCACACCGAATCCTGACTGTTATTTGTAACAGCAGTATTCATTTCTTTATTTTAATCTCAGCCCGTTCTGAGTCTGGGTGATGTGCCCCTACCGACTGCCTCCGTTCGCTGTCATTGGCAGAGGATGAGCAGGACAATCCGTGTGATGTGTCCATACTTACTGCCCTCCCCCCCCCCCCGTGTGATGTGCCCCCACTGACTGCCTACTGTTCTTTGTCTCCACAGAGGACGAGTTCCTTTTGATGTGCCCCCACTAACTGCTTCCGTTCGCTGTCGTTTGCAGAGGACGAGGAGGACAAGGAGAACCAGCCGGAGACCCCGCAGCGGCGTCCGAACCGGCTCACCAGTCGGCTGCGGCGGCTGACAGACGCCATGGACGCCTCTGACTCCAGCTCGGGCGCCGCCGGCGGCGGCGGCGGCGCCGACATGTACGACTTCAAGCCGGAGCAGGAGCGCGACTCGCAGCCCGGCGCCGCCGATAAGGATGAACAGAGGGAAGGTAAACAGACCGCCAGTCCGGCCCGGCAGGACGACACGCGCCCGACCGACGACGGCAAACGACCCGCGTCGGAGATGGAGGATGCAGACGGAGAGGAGGGTGCCAAGAAGAAGAAGAAGAAAGAGGACCTGCCCAAGCCGGCCCCCAAGTCTGGGAAGGGTGGAGAGAAAGTTGGTAAAACGACCGGCAAGTCAGTGGTTGGCGGAAAGCCGGGCAAAGGCTATGGTAGTGGCAACGAGCGCCGCAGTCCGACGGGCTCGCAGGGCGCCGCCACCCCGCCGAAGAGTAAACCGGCGAGCCGCACCACATCGGATGACAGCGACGGAGAGGAGCGCCGCGAGGGCCCCAAGGTTCCGCCGCTGAAAATCGTCATCAACGCCGCCAGCGCCGAGCAGGAGCAGGTGAAGGGCGGCAAGGGCGCCAGCGGCGCGCGGCTGCCCTACGTGGTGGCCTCTCAGGCGGACACCGAGTCTGACGAAGTGAGCTCAGAGACAGCTGCCAGCCAGGCGGCGGCGGCGGCGGCGGCAGCGGACGGCACCGGAGAGGACGGCTCCCCGGGCGGCGGCGACAAGTCGAGCACGCCGGCGCGTGTCACCCGCTCACAGCGCGCGCTGCAGGGCGGCTCTGGCGAGGCGGCCAGTCCCGAGTCGGCCAGCGGCAGCGCGGCCGCCGACGGCGACCGGCCGACCGAGGAGGAGCCCGCCGAGCCGCCGCCGCCGCCGCCCCCGCCACCGCCGCCGCCTCCGGCTCCCACCACCACCACCGTCGTGGAACATCCCCGGAAGCGCAAGATGCGCCAGGCGCGTGCCACCCAGCAGGCTGCCGAGGAGGCGGCGGCGGCGGCGGCCGCGGGCGGCTCTCCGGCGCCGCCCGCCGACCCGCCCTTCATGAACAACTACAAGGCGTTCCAGGAGATCCGGCGGCAGATCGACCGGCGCCGGCGCGAGCTCTTCCCCATCACCCCCAAACCGCCGCGCGGCTTCAAGGACTACCTCATCAACCGGGCCACGTACGTGCTGGCCGGGAACGTGCACTCGCGGCTGAGCGTGCCCACCATGGCGCCACCGTGCAGCCTGGCCGCCGGCATGAAGGAGCTCTTCGTGGAGCAGGAGATCGAGCGCTACAAACTGCGACTGCAGGTGAGCCCGCGACTGGCCCTGCTGTGAGAACTGTGGAGTGGGGTTGGTTATGATAGGTTGGATGCCGTTTAGCGGCTAGCTCGGCTGTGCAGTGGACTGGAGTGAAGTTGAGTCGAGTCGGCTATTATTGGGTGGCCGTCGGTTTGGCTATTTTCCGGTATTACTCTCACAGTTTTATCGTCAATTCGTAGCGTATGTACCCGACGCAGAGAAGTTATGTTGAATGTCGGCATTAGTTTGTTGGTATTGCAGATATTAACAGGAATACATCCAGAGGGGATGAACTAGAAACAACCTGACAATTCCCAAATGGCATGTCTCGACTTTCATCTACTGACATAAAACTGGCCGGCTTCTGCTGGCACCGCAGTTCCGTAAGGATTGTTTGGTAGTCATATTCAGGTTGGATTTCTGTGAGGCCAGATTCCGCTACACTACATATCGTAGGCGCAAGGATTGTGTAACGCCTGTAGTTGTCTGACGCCGCTATCGGTCCCCCCGACAGCACATCATCGAGAAGGAGAAGCTGGTGCTGACGGTCGAGCAGGAGATTCTGCGGGTGCACGGCCGGGCGGCGCGCGCGCTGGCCAACCAGGCGCTGCCGTTCAGCGCGTGCACCATCCTCCGTGACGAGGAAGTCTACAACCTCGCCACACCCGAACAGGAGGAGAAGGACCGCAACGTGCGCGACCGCTACAACGGCCGACAGTTCTTCAGCTGGCTCCAGGACGTCGACGACAAGTGGGAGAAAATCAAGGTGGGTGCCAGGGGGCGCTGTTGGACGTGAGAAATGGGGGAGACGAAGATCCGGCAACGGTTAGCGTTACTCGTTTCGTTTAGTTTAGATGTAAACGTCTCGTGTTCATGAACTTCGGAAAGAGGTTAGTCACTTGTCACAAAAATGTCACGAAGAATTCAATATTGGTATTATTCGATGTTTCGCTGAATAAAGTTGGGATTTTCTCTGTTGGAAATAGGTTCTGTATTACATGTGTTCATCTTATTCAGCCGAATTCTTCGCAAAGTAGACGTAGACATAGCAGTAATAACTATTTTGCTCTACACACCAATTAAAATCCAATTTTATCGGTCTGAACGATGCACTATAACCGTTTCTGGAGAATGACTGTCAGATTTCCCCCTGTCTGACTGTCCCCCTCCCCCCCCCTCACCAGGAGGGTATGGTGTTACGACACCACAACGAGGCAGAGTCGCTGCACGCCGTGCAGAAGATGGACTGGGAGTGGAAGCTGAAGGAGATCGGCGCCTGCGACCCCCGCACCACACCCAACATCGACGAACTGCACGTGCCCATGGTGAAGGTCATTGACGACTTTGACATGCCGCCGAGTTGAGCGGCTGTGGCGAGGGCAGCTTGGGAGGGGCTTTGCTGTGCGCGGGATCAGTGCGGGATAGTGTCAAAAAGGCGCCGTTTCTTGGACTATTGTGGCAAATCCTCATGGGCCCGTTTGTTATATGTATTGTATGTATGTAGTGTATGTGTAATGTGTGGGATGTACGCGAGTGGTCGGTCTGTGTGCCCCTCGTAGCCTGTTCGCGGTGTTCGCGGGGCCGGGCAGGGTAGCTTTTTTGCTGATTTGCTCCTGTTGTGTGTGTAGGGGAGGGGAGTCGTCCCAGCTCTAGTGATATCAGTTGGGGAAACTACGAGGAGCCAAACAAAATTGGATCAGCCAATCAACGGCTGGAGATGACCATATATGGTCATAAAATCAGACAACATCTTTTCCATGCATCCTAGCATTCAAATGAAAAAATAAGGCATTATAATGTTTTTTAACCACACAAGGCCTACACTCACTCGGTGCACAATGCACTGGCGGCTCTAAATCGCAGATTTACAATACAAGGGCCCTGTTTCACCGGTGATAGCAGCACGCTGCTTTTACACGTGTCAAATTGGGTTTCCATGGAAACATCAACAGGCTCATTGCTCCAACACTACCAGAAGTGTGACGTCAGCTCGCGCAATTTGATAGCAGCGTGGTAGCAGCGTCCCGTGAAACACCGCCAAGGTCAAACAGTGATTGGCAAATATGGCGGATTAAAACAGACGCGCCAAAAAAATGTAAGCAGCTACACCGTGGTTTGAAAATGTCATTATTTTTATTATTTTGTTTATGTTTTTTCCAATTTTGGTTGAATTATAATTATAAAATAAAATATCTTCATTCAAATAAAATTAAATCTTAAAAACAATTTTCTTTCAAAACACCAATCCATTTATGGAATGGCCAGCTGATTGTGACGCTCAGAACCTGCAGAAAAGCTGTTTTGCTATCGCCATTTTCGAGTGAATTCGCCGAATTTAATCAAATGGCGTGATTTCGCAGTGGAAAATGGAAGCCTTTTCTCTCCGATAAGTGGACGCGATACCGCAAGTACCGGCACGTTATACCGTTTTTCTTCCGTAGTAGCGAGGGCTGCTTTTATGCCCATATATGGTCATCAAAAGTCTATTTATTGACCAATCAATTTTTGGATCTTCGCCTCGTAGTTTCCCCAACTGATATGTATAGAGGACGACCGTCCCGCACCGAAATGCTGTGTGGACGGCACGGCATACGTTGTACTGTGCTATCCTCTACGACTGTTTGCTGGCATTGTGCTGTGCTGTGCTGTGCTGGCTCCCGCGCCCTATGTGCCGTGCTGTCTGGCGTGTGCGGATTGCTTCCTCACCGTGCGAACGCCCGTATCAGCGGCAGACAATCGCTTGTGTTACGGGATATGTTCAATGTTCATTATGTATGTACTAAATACAAACTTGACACCACAATCAACCAGTTCATTATACCGTCCGTAGACGCTCCGTAGAAACATTTCTATGAAACACAACCGAGCGCGGGCAATACAGCACCCACGAGTCACGACACCAACAACTCGCACATACAGAATACTCAGACACCAGACTGTCACTGTGCCGCCCATGCCACGATAGCATGGCGTCCTTGGCAACTGAGCACCGCATGCCCGTTGTCTTTTACCGCTGGTGTCTGGAGCAGCGATCACCGACTCACGGTCGCGGCGCTGGTGTTTGGCAGTCCGCTCCACACTGCGGCGGCCTGAGACTAGGACACGTATTCGCAAACCCACCGAGTCTGACCGGCGGCATCAGGCGGGCGGCTGCTCCTGGTCCGACGAGGGCCGCTTGCCGAGCTTCAGGTCCACCGGCCGGTCGTAGCCCATGATGCGGCCAAAGTGCTCGATCGGCTGGAAGTGGTTGGCGTCGGCGAACAGCGGCTTCCCCTTGGCGACGAACGTGGTGAACATCCCGGGTACGTCTGGCACGTGTACGTCGGCAGGACTGAACTCCACCTGAGACGAACGGGCGCCGCGTCAGTAAATCAGTTCATGACTTTTACACTTATGCGAAGGACGAGAGCCAGGCAAAGGGAGTCCTTACAGTAGAATGGCGCTCAGTTATAAGAAGTGGACGAAAGGGGCACTCCCAGGAATGTGTGAACGTTCTTGGACTGACGAGCGTTCCCGGGACAGTTTCGCCGCACAGGTGTGTAGGGAGGAGTTCACCTGTCGCGTGCGCAGCATCAGTGTGATGGTGTTGGCCGTGTAGCGGTCCGAGCTCGGGTCGTACGTCAGCTGGGTGACGTAGTTGCGCACCACCAGGTGAATCAGCACGGGCGTCATCAGCGTGAAGATGCCCATCACCGAGCCCATCATGATGGCGATCCTGGCGGCCGGGCAGACGTTAACGCCCGGGACACGGGTCACACGTAACACATGCACAGCAACTCACAACACAGAACACCGCCTCCCAATACAGGACACCATCTCACCACAATGGGCACCAACTCACAACATCTCAAAACACGAGACACCACCCCACAACATGAGACGCTTTCACAGTCTTAACACGGGACACCATTACCGTCTCACAACACGAGACATCGCCTTCCAACATGAGACACCGTCTGACAACACGGGACACCAGACAACAAAGACACCACCTCACAATACGGGACATCGTCTCGCCACCACTACGCCGGCGCACACGGAAATGGTCGCACGCACCTGCTGAAAAATGCACACAATGCACACCGAAATAAGGTCCGATGCTCGAGCGTCTTGCGGCGGCCTGGTAGCTCAACTGCGCTCACCCAACACCGTCCACAGACAGGGCGACAAGGCCGATGGCGACTCAGGTGAAGACTCACCCCATTCCGGCCTTGCCCATTTCGGCCATGACGGTGGGAGCCACATACATGCCGACCGCACTAGTGAAGAGTGAAAACACCTTGAGCCGCTTCATTTGGCCCGTCAGCGGACCTCGGTAGACCACCTGTGTGAACACGAATACATGGGTCAATGTTGGAGCACGAAATAGTCCCACAGACCGGTGGTTAGTACGAAACGGTCGTCTTCGGACAGACAAAACGATCGCAAGGCTGAAGACAGGGTACATAATAGTGACGCGGTGATCTGCTTGGATAATTTAGTTTCGGAAAGTGTCAACATAACACAAATGCATACGAGGAGCTGAGAACAAGACAAAGTGTGTCACGGCGACTGCGGGAGCTCACCAGCGGCTCTGGCTTGTCGGCAACACGTTCGGCAGATGCAGAGCAGCTGCTGTGCAGAAGTCGCCGAATGCAGGCTTTGTGTACCTGAGGAACGTTGTGAACACAGTTACAGGATATGAGTGAGTGAATTTAAATGAATTGTACAAAGAATATTGGCATCAAATATGTCATGAAGGCTGAGGCATTGAGCTATAAAACAGAACAAGAACTGCAGGTACCTATGCACAAATTCCTGATAGCCCTCCATACATATAAGTTTGGACAGCATCTCAACTACTCACATGGGCCAGCTGTGGTGTGTGTACAATGGGCACATTCTGTCCGACAGGAACAGCACAGGTGCTCAGCTTCCTTCCGACGACTCTTGAGCATTGCACAAGTCGGAACATTATTCAAATTTCAAGCTCTGTATACCTTTTAAGAAATCAATAAGAAAACACCTTAACTTCACAGCTTACAAAATTGCCTGGAAAAGCAATTAAGCAATCCATAGGCCTGTAAAAACATACATACTAATTACTGAGTGAATGGTTTAAAACTTTGACTAAAGTTTTAATCCTTCCCTGTTAACCTCCCCCAAAAATAAACCAATTGTCAAACCTTTACCCCTCGCTACGTAGCCACAAATATCACCAAAAGCATGAGTGAGGAGTACTAACAATTATTTCTCCCACACATGACACATCACTTCACGGTATATTCATTCTCACTTCACGGTATTTACCCTTGCCCTTCTTACCAAGGTGCAGGGGCATATTTACGTCTGGACAACGAGTTGCGGGGAAAAGTGCTGATTGTGTTGCAGTTTTAGGAGCCGGTGATTAGGCTGGATTTTTGGGTTACTTTTTCGTTCCGATTCATGCATTTCATAGTGTTTGGCTTTTGAATATTTTAGTTCTTTCAGATAAATATTACTTGTCTTACAACTTTTGTAAAAACGTTTCATTTTTTATAAGCCGACGTTCAGAGTCCTAAAAATACATCAGCACTACAATCATTGTAAACAAACAAATGGAGCACCACTTGGCTCTGTTCCAAGGTCATTTTTTAGTTTATCTGGTGGTTTTCTTGCTCTTGTACGTCGTTTTGTTGGATGTTTTGAATCCCTTAATATTGACATATCATATTTAAGAAGCATGTTGACTGAAAACAATCTGAAGTATCCAGGAGGCTGACAGAGGTCCTGACTACACTGAGCAATATCAATATCAAGTTGAACAAGTTATGAAATTTTGGTTGATAAACGCAAGTTGATCGGGCTCATATATCAGCAAGAAAAAGTAAAATTAAAAGAGCTTATTGTCCAAAAACAAGCTATAATATTGCAGACCTTGGAGCAATACTGAAGAGCACGCTGAGCAGGATCATGCCAGAAAATGTTGACTGATGAGCGCATATTGATGTATTGGTATGAATATTGAATGATAACTTACAACAGCAAGATAAATTAGTGCTAACTATCAAGCTAAAATCTAGAATGAATGGACTTGGGCAGTTTTACTATGCTTAGATGCTATGCAGATTGTAATGTGCATCAGGTACTCAGTGTCTGGCAAGTGGCAAATGAAACATGCGATCATTCCATTGCTACTGGAGGAGAAAGCTTGGATCACTAAATCCACTTTATGTTGATTTTGATGTTAATCATCATCACTGTATTTCTTGAAAAAAGGATTGTTGTAAAATTGTCAATGTGACAATCCATGCAACGATGTGATCATATTATGTGTTCATAGCCATTTGTGATAGTCATTATTGGTCCAATATACAATGGCAAAGCTCTCAGTCTCAGCGTTTCTTCCTGTGGATGGCCAGCAGTGACTCAGAGCTTAGAAGTATTAGTTTTCTTCATCATCACACATATTTGCAGCCTACCCAAGACCTGCATGGCAGTAGCACCCAGTTATAGGTAGGTACTCACCCTAACTCAATCTTACCTGCTAACCTCTGACTTGCCAAAAGTTAGCTCACATTGCCAAGCTGTGTCCAGGGAAACAGTCAACTGAGGAACTGGCTCATTGGGTGGCTGGTGTGAGTCTGTGCGTTTAAAGTGTTTCTTCTCTGAAGCTGCTCTGCACTGCTGTATGCCATGTTAGATGCTCAGAAAATGTGGGAAATGATTACTAAGCTACTTTAGTGCTTTGTTAATGCTCGAGACATGAACAAGTACAGATCCTGCAGGGTACAGCTATGAGTTAGGTGCTAGGTGAGTATGTTATGTGAATGTGCTGTTCCCTGTTTGACCGTAAGTATACAAACAAGCACAGGGTCACAGTTATATTCAATCTCCACATAAACATACAACAAAAACGGCCATATAGCCTAACTCCCCACAGATAACTTAAGCCTTTGAAGGCACAAAAATGTTTTGATTAACAGGACAGGTTTACAATATATCCTCTGTCCTTGGGGGATCTTGCTGCCAAGTTGAGGTATGATGACTGAACTTCAGGATTGATTAACCTTTTCTTAGCCACTGCTTATATACGAGAAAGACCAAATGCTTGTTTGTTTTGATTTACAATACATGTATACAATATATCCTCTGTCCTTGGGGGATCTTGCTGCCAAGTTGAGGTACGATGACTGAACTTCAGGATTGATCAATCTTTTCTTAGCCACTGCTTATATACGAGAAAGACCAAATGCTTGTTTGTAAACTGCGTTGAAAATTTAATGATCCACCTTCAATTCTGACATGAAGCCACAAATGAAATAGTTCCCTCTCCTTTTGGAATACACAAAGCAAAATATTTAATAAATTTTAGTGGATGGACAAGAGCAATTAGGATAGCTTTCCCTCAAGTTAACTTCTGGCACTGTTGATGAATTACACTGACGCCACTGAACTCTATAATGTGGAATGCGCATCGGCCGCCAGATGGTGTCCAACGGTGCCGCCATGTTGCGCAGACCCAGAAAGCGGCCGCCGCCTGTGTTGGGGAATAGGGAATTCGGGACCTCGATTTACGTTTACGGTCGCTGCATCCGTTACGTTCAAGCTATGTGGACACGGAACCCAGCATCTTACGCAGAATTGAATGGAGAACAAGATGAAATCCTAAAAAATCCTCAGATATAAGGAACTAATACGTTAAACCCTTATAAGTCAATGGGAAAATATGAAAATTGCTATTTTGGCGCCGAAAATGATCTGAAACTATCTCAAGCATATAGAATCATGATTTCATGCACTCCTTGCAAGGTTCTATGCTTCATACATGGAGGAAGGAGTACTGGAGTGGCAACTTCACGCTTTTTTGCGACAGACACCTTCCAGCTAGTACCGTTCATAGGTTCTTATCGAAAGCAGAACTACACCATTCAGCCAATCAGCGTTGCCAACCGTCCGTAATTCAACCAATGAGCGCGCCCGTAACCAGCTGACGAATAAAATGAACAGACTACATCGAGCAATATTTAATTTTATAAGTTTATAAGTTTATATTTATAAGTTTATTATTATAAGTATAATAATAATATAAATAATTTAAAATATTTATAAGTTTTAATGTCAATTTCAACGAGCCGGCGCCTGCCCGTTCTTCCCGTCCTCGTCTCCAGCTGTAGATGTACCGCCCTTCGCGCACCGGATTTGAGATTAATCTGTGAAAGTCGCTAGAACTTGAATGTAACCATTGTCTTCTCCGTTTAATTTCCTGCTCATTGATGTACAAAAATCACACGTAGCGCCCAAAATAATCCTCCTACGCCCTTTTCTCTAAACCGCTGCACGCCATAGCCCGCCATTATAAGCCGACCGCCGCGACCCGCCGATACTAGCTGGGGCGTTTCGACCCGCTCCCGCTAGGTGGCCCGTGTCTGTCGCTAACGGCCCATGGTAAAGGCATAGAGTTGCCACTCCAGTATTCTCTCCTCCATGCTTCATATTTACATTGTTGCTCTTGCGTGACGTCATTTGTGACGTCACAAGGGTCACAATTTTTCTTCAATAACTCCCGATCAAATTGAGCTAGCGAGTCGGGAAAGCCACCAATGGACTCAGGAAGACCTGCCGAATCGAATGATATGCGACATGACATCTTTCGACCAACTTCGTGACCTGGGGGTGCTGACCTGACCTTGACATGAGGCAGGGCCTCGGCTAACATGTTAACTACTGGGGCAAATGCCCCAGTAGAGTCGAGGAATGCCCCAGTAGTGGTCAGGCTTTGCCCAACCTCCACAAAATGAAACTATATCAATATTAACGTACATTCTTTCATTCGGGAGCGGTTGAAGACGTTTGTGGCAAGAAATCAGGGGTGGCGGAAGAGGGAGTGCACGGTGTGCAGCTGCACCCTCAATTTCCCTCCAAAAACATAGGCGTGCATTGGCGCAAACATATCTTTTTGCACCCCATAATCCATCTTCGTTCGAAAGAGCGTCAAAAATAATGACGAAATAACTTCGGCCTCTTTTTTGGTCAGGTCAAAGGTCAGGTCATGGTGCAGGCCAAATTTCGCCGATTTTCAGGCCGAATATCGACAGTTTACAAGATGCAAACGCATAACTCGGGAACCAATTAGAGCTACACCACCGCGGAAAAGCGGATTTGATAGCCATATTAGCATGCTTTCTGGTTATTTCTCTTAGATTTGACCTAACGTCAACTATTTTGCCTGCAAGGGGCAAAAACTACCAAAATAGACGACTTTTTCGGGAACAGTTTTTCTGCAATAACTTTTGACTCATGGCTTGCACGAGCTTTCTTTTACCGACAACGTGTTCCTCTCGTCAAGACACATCAAATTAACTGCAATTTGACCTTGGAGGTCAACTTGAAAATTCGACCACAGGTCAAGGTCATGATCTGACCGGAAATTGTCATGTTGCATATCAGTCGATCTGCATCGTCGAGCCAAACACGGCATTTTCATCGCTCTAGCATGCCTCATTCAAAAGTTATTCGCGAAGAACTGTTAGATGCCATTCGTGAACTGAGATGACCTCAGGGGCATATTAACAAGAGTCACGGGTGCTATTTTCATGTTCAGTGTGTCAAAGTCACGTACAATGTTTTATAGTGTTTAGAATAACTTTCGTCCAAAAGAGGTGGTTTTGAATTTTCTCCCATTGACTTATAATAGAGGTCACAAAATTGAGCTGACCTTAGGTCACCGAAATGAAAATTCCGAGATATAAATTTTGTACATGCTGTTGCCCCTATTAATCGCTGAAAGTTTTAAAGCGATCGGTCACTCGGTGTAGCTACGGCATACATTGAAACATTTTATGAGGTGAGGTCACTTGAGGTGACCTGGTGACCTGATATTGAATGACCTTGGACTGAAATTTTCACAACACGTGTAGAATTGATGGATGATGGAGCGCCGCCGTTTTTTAGATATCCGCGAAAAACCGCAGGAAAAACCGCAAGTGTTCAAACACCCCCCCCCCCCCCCCAGCAGGGCGCCAACACACTTTGACAATTTGCCCCAGTAGTCAAATTTCCTTAGCCGAGGCCCTGACATGAGGTCAACACCCTAAGTTGA